CACGTCGGGGGAACAAATACCCTAGTTGAAGGTGATAACTTCAAAAAGGGTGGGCCATGGGGCCGAGCATGGAGGAGTCCATGCATGATCACAGACATGTCAAGTGAGAGGACTTGGCAGTGTGGAGGAACTAAGTTCCTAAGCTGTGATCTATAGCGTGCTTTAAAAATAGGTTGGTGCACCGGCGTGGGGAGTCACGCCAGGCATCTTGTGTGATGCCGTCCGTAGATGCATATACGGAGGTTGGGTTCGAGTCCCGACCCTCTAGTGCTTGGGTTCGAGTCCCAAATCACTAGGGCGTGGTGATGGTTTGGAATATGAGGACACTCATATTTCGGTGGTCATGGACTCTCAGTGGGGAGACTGGTTTGGGCACACCGCCAAACGAGTGATGCCTCGGAGTCGTGATGCACGGTTAGATTGCTTAGAGTGAAAGCTCGGCATATCTAACTTGAACGCTTTGGTGCAAGTGGCACCAAGGTCGTGGTGAGTGAGATGGGGACACCTAATCTCAGTTGCTATGAACCCTTGGCCGTAAGGGCTAGCTTGGGTGCACCGCCAAGTGTGGGGGATGCCCCCGGGGTTATAGTCAACAACTTGGAGGTCTAGAAGACCAAGTACCTCTTGGCAACTCTGTTAAGGTGCCAAGGTGAGATCACTAGGTGATCTTATGGCCAGATAAGGACAAGGTCCTTGGTTGGCCAAGGAATGAAGTTCCTGGTTCAAAATGTTGAAATTGAACTGTTTAAGATGGTGTGGCTTGGTCGTGATGACCAAGTGGGAAGAGCACCTAAGGGAAATAAACTATGTCCGTCCGATGGCATAGTGAGTCCGAGGAAAGTAGTCTCTATAAAAGACCCATGGGAGGGTCACGAAGTTGGGCCATGGATAGAGCCCATAGCAGAAGATGCTAAAGAGACGTACGAGGGGTGAACATCCTCCGGACTAGGCAAAGAAGAGTCTTTGCTATGGAACCGAAAGGATACCTCAAAAATGGAGGTAGCGATCCGATGTTGCTGGGTGCAACAATCAAGGATAGGAGCAAAGGACTAGTGGCCAAGTTTGGGCCATGGAATTTAATGGAAGGGATTCAAATGGCAAAATTAGCCAAGGAACACTAATGTATTCGGTGCTAACAGCTTGTGGGAAAGGAAGTGGACTTCCAAGGATGGATTCCTAAGTGCTCCAATTTGGCGAAGTAAAAGCTCCAAGTGAGGGAGCGGTAAGGTAGCCAAATGATAGGGCCATGGACAGCCCTAGCACAAAGTATGATAATTGGAACTTAGTGCCCAAGGTGGCACGAAATAGAAGAGAGGATGATGGTGCCCTCAAGTAATGAACTTCCTAGGATGGGGAAGTGGAGTTGCACAATCTATGCAATGCAAGGTGTTGGAGACACCTAGGAAATTGACTTCCAAAAGTCAAAAGAGTAAAAGTTCCAAGGTGCAAACGTTCAATAGATGGAAATTGAGACTACTTGAGAAGGAGTAGTGGGATTGACTTAGAGAAAGGTCTCTAAGAGGTTTAGCGAGAACCACTACATGTGGTCCAATCAATCTCTAAGTTGGGGAGACTACCCTCCTTAGGGGATAGGCAAGGCATGGTGAGCCTTTGGTGTTAAACCATTGAGGAATATGCAAAAGGCATGGTGAGCCTTCAATGTCAAACCATTGACAAGTATGGAGAAGGCATGGTGAGCCTTCAATGTCAAACCATTGACAAATATTGGCTAGGTGCCAAGGATGGAAGTGGTAACACATGCGGGTGTTACTTTATAAAGTGGTTTACCGTTCGATGAGGACATCGAACTTCGTCTATGGGTGGTGGAGTTGTGAGACACAAAATCCCTAGGCCCCAAAGTGGAGCCGGAAGGGCGCCACATGGTAGTGGCCGAAGCGAGAGCCAAACGAGCGTAACACATTTGGACCAAAAGCTCCGACTTGAAAAGTCAAGAGCGGGAGTGGAACTCCCAACGAAGTGCTCGAGGAACGAGCACGAAGCGAGCAAAAGGCGAGGCTCCAAAAAGGGACCCAAAAGGACCAACACATGACACGTGGGAGTGTCCGAGATGGACTCGAGTTGGAGTCCGAAGTGGAGTCCGAGATGGACCCGAGTTGGAGTCCAAGATGGACCCGAGTTGGAGTCCAAGATGGACCCGAGTTGGAGTCCGAAGTGGAGTCCGAGATGGACCCGAGATGGAGTCCGAAGTGGAGTCCGAGGTGGACCCGAGAGGGACCCGAGTTGGAGTCCGAAGTGGAGTCCGAGATGGACCCGAGATGGAGTCCGAGATGGAGTCCGAGATGGAGTCCGAGGTGGACCCGAGATGGACCCGAAATGGAGTCCGAGATGGAGTCCGAGATGGACCCGAGATGGAGTCCGAGATGGAGTCCGAGATGGACCCGAGATGGACCCGAGATGGAGTCCGAGATGGAGTCCGAGATGGAGTCCGAAGTCGAGACCGAGACCGGGACCGAGACCGAGATCGAGACCGAGATCGGGACCGAGACCGAGACCGAGGCCGAGGCCGAGACCGAGCCTGAGGCCGAGACCGAGCCCGAGCCCGAGTCCGAGTCCGAATCCGAGTCCGAGTCCGAGTCCGAGTCTGAGTCCGAGTCCGAGTCCGGAGCCTGAGAGGGTGAAAGCCCAAAGCGTTCGTCTCCCAGACCCTGGGGGGTTTGGTGAGCTCCAAAAGTATAGTAGGGGGGAGGACTGCAGTGGAGCCAGTTTGGCCAGAAAAGGCCAGTTTGGCCCAGGAAGGCCGGACCCAGTGTTAGGTGATGAGCTGCCCACTGGGAAGTCCAAGACTAGAGTGAACACGGACCGACAAGCGGGGTAGCTTGGTGAAGTGTTCAAGAGCCGGCTCTAGTTCCCCCGGGAGATTGACTGGCCGATGCTCCCAGTCCAAGTGTGGGTGGCGCTACCTACTTGGATACCAGGCGTGGCTCAACGGAACCTCGCTCTAAGCCCATGGCTAGAGCACCCAAGGGCAGAAGGCGAGGAGAGTACCCAGGTGGCTCGCGTAAGGCCACGGTGTTCCGAAATGTTGTCCCAAAGGCCCAGACTGTGGAAAGGAAGAGGAGCAGTCCTCTGGGGTAGTGACCAAGGACACAGTCGTGTGGTGAGGAAGTCCTAGAGGACCGTGGGACTTAGTGGTCGGGCCTGTGGGTCTCGATCCAGTGGCAGTGTTGGCAAACACGGCCAGGGGCAGAAAGGGACTTAGTGGGAACTGACAGAGGGATATTGAGGAAGGCTATTCCCCTTGTCGGTGGGCATCCTACGGATGCTAAGGAGTGGGATCTGAGATGACCACTCACGGATGGTTTGCCTAGTCTTGGAGAGCCAAGACGGTGATGCGAGTGGTATTGGACTACCAGTGTGGCAAAGGTGATTGGGCATGGCCTTAGCGTAACGGGATGCTATGTTGGTGGTACCTTTGAGTGTCGGTCATGGGATCAGACACGTGGAGCACTTGGACCAAGTGCAAATGTTAAATGGCATGGATGCCATTCTCGGGGCTAGCAAGTCCCAAGTCCTGGATTGGACTTATGGAGGTTGTGAATGAGACTCCTCCAAGTGGTCAGAGGTGTGGTTAAGTGACTAAAGTAGAATGGAAAATTTAGTCGCTTACACTATCATGGAGCAATATTGAGGGACCAATCTCAATATGCGAGGGTTCTTGTCAAGCCAATGCAAGACAAAGCAAAAGAGAACTAACAAGCCGGGCCGAGTATGCTCAGCTAAATAGACACTTAGGAATTCCTTCCTTATGCTCATCCGGCCAAGTACAAATGCTAAGCCCAGTTTACTAACACTTGAACAAGAGGGACTAATAAAGGGTCTAGCAATACTGACCTCCTGCCATCTTGGCAGTAAGGTAAGAGTGTCCATAAGGACTGGCCGACAGGTAACTTTCGATACCCGAAATCACATTCGCGACACTTACAATATGTTAATATTTATTGTATTCTTTTTTAGAGACTTGTTTATTGATCACTTCATACCCATTCTTTAAGCACTTCTTTGGGAGTTCCACTCCTTCTTATAACTTTTTGTGTTGGAGCTTTTGGTCCAAATGAGTTATATTTATAAACTTTTGTTTCAGCCATTGCCATATGGCCCACTTTTGGCTCTATTTTGGGGCATTAGGATTTGTATCTTACAATTAGTTTGAGCATTTAAAAGTTGCATATAAAGTTTCAATTAATTCATCAAGATTCCATACTTAATTAATACTTATATCATTGCTTTGAGTTTTATTTCAATTATGGACTATCTATCTCTTCTTATATAAGCAGAAATTAATATACCCACTATCATATTTATCTAATATTTAATTTATTTTGGTGAGGCTAATAGAATTTTACACCAAGTAGTATATGAGACAAAGTAGAATATCATTAATAAAACTTATATTTCATCTTTAGTATTCTAGCATATGAGATAGAAATGTCCTTTTCTTGTATGTTCCTTTCAAACTCTCAACTGAATAATATTATAATCTGAGACCATGTTTTTTTAATCTTATTGGAATCAAATGAAAAAATATAATAGGTTATAAAAGTCAAAGTTTGTTGAATTATTCACCCACACCTAAAATCTACACTTTAATATTTTTTTCAAGGTTTCTTGAGATGTCGGTGTGTCTCTCCTGTTTCCAAGTACATTTCCCCTCATGAGTCGTTGTTGTTGTCTACAACCCTCCCAAGAGCTGGCTGCCAACAAAACCATAATCAAGAGAAGATTTCTAGACTACACATGGTTCCACATACATAGTCTGTACTGTGATCAAGTAAAATAATCTTAAAAACAATAGAAATCAAACTCAACCAAACACATCCTTTTCTCTCCCTGTCACGACCCATGAAATCAATCGTGATCACCCCCCTGCAAGCCGTTCTTACACCCAAACCTTTGCATTCAAATTCTCTACATGCGACACTGGAATTCCAGGTCGCCCTTGGATCTCCCCACGATCCAGTGGCTACGATCGCGCCTTCTAACTATTCCTCCTTGATCCTGCCCAAAACTCCATCAACGGCGACCTCGAACGCGTCCGCCCAGTGACGCCCGGACGAAGACGACGCATACACCAGCCCGGGGAGGATCCGCAGTACCGCCCGCTGCATCCTCCCGATCCTCTCGCGAGAAATCCCCTGGAGCACGTCCAAGACATTGGTCCCGTTCTTGACGCTCTGGTGCGGGATGAACACCGAGTACTCCTCCGGATCGCGGGGGAGATACAATTCGTACTGCCAGTACGCGCTCTGATTCCAGAAGAGAACTGGAATGCAGCCGGAGATGAGCGAATCGAAGAGAGACTTGCGCGTGAAGCTGTCGCCGCGCGGCTGGAGGCAAAACACCGAGCTCAAGAACAGCTTGGTGACGCGCAGGGGGTCCGAGGTGCAGCCGGCGGTATCTGCGGTACAGTCAAGGCACCGAGAAATACCGCGCGGCGCCGCGCGGCACTGCCCGAGAAGGACCTGTCTAAAGTCCGAGCGGTAACCCGGCCTGGGCGAGCCCGCGAATGCGACCAGGTGTGGCCTCGGGCTGCCCTGGACGAATTCTACCCACTGGGCGAGATCCTCGTCAGAGCTGGGATGAAAGCTCGTTGGGTATGGGACGCCCAGCTCGGAATCGTCCCAGGGATTGCGCTCGATCACCAGGCGCTTGACGCTTCTCATCTCGATCTGGTGGAAGAGGCTGCTGCCCCACTCGCCCGCGGCGCTGGGCATCCTCCGGAAGTCCCAGCTGATCCGCCCGGCCACCAGGAAGTGATCGGCGCCGCCGCTACGATTGAAATGCGGGTGCTGCCGCTGGAGCCAGTGGAGGAGCTGCTCGCCCAGCGAATCCACATCGCTGGAGCTCTTGCCGCTCGCCCAAAGGTTCCTGGAGATGTCGAGGCCGGCGTAGAAGGGCACGAAGAACGCGGAGGCGCCGTCTGGATCGAGGGTCCGGCATCTGTGATCCAGCATTCGCCGGTGGAAGATGATCTCGCCGCTAAACTGATCGGTGGCGTGCCACGATCTCCTGGCCGGCCAGCGATCGGGATCCCTGAAGAGAAATTGCCATGCCTTGCTCCAGGGCCACCAGGAGGATGAAGAGGATGAAGAGATCTTCCCCAGTGGGGGACCGAGGCCCGAATTGGAGAGCGCAGAGCACATCGATTTCCATGGATTGAGGCTGTCGCAGCTCCGGACGAGCTCCACATTGAATTTCTCTGGGAGATCGTAGACAAACACGAGGCCTTTGGCGCAGTGGAGCGATCGATTCGAGACAATCGGATCGATCTGGCTGCGACGTCCCAGAGCGCACGTCTTGTCGATCCGGAGGGGCCCGATGATTGCGAGGAGGAGGAGCTCGGCGGCCAGGGCCGCCATGGCCAGCGCCACTGTGCTCACCATCGCCTTCTTCGGCATGGAATGGCCAGGCGATTTGGCAGCGTTCGATCGCGGCCGGCGTGGAGGCAGAATGTCCACGAGATGGAGCGGTTTTATTATGGCGCAATCGCAGCCGTCCAGCGCGGCGTACCCGTGCCTGCTGCTGGCGTTTATACATTCGCAGGTTGGGCCTCTTTTCGTTGGGAGAAGATTCGACGATCCAACCGTCGAAATAAACGCTAAAGAGCGCACGAGCTCAGTGACTCAGATTCTCTTTTTTGCTTTTCTACTTGAGGCCTACTTGAGCAGTGCTACCGAAGAAACGAAAAAGTAAAAAGTAAAACGAGAGATCACTCCACCGTCTTGTGTGAACTCGGAAGCGTAAATTCGTGCTACTGAAGAAACGAAAAGTAAAACCAGTGATCACTACATTGTCTTGTGTGAACTTGGCATCGTAAATTTCTTGCCCTGGCCGCTGGAAAGAAAAGGTCCTACCGGGATTCGAACCCAGGTCGCTGGATTCAAAGTCCAGAGTGCTAACCACTACACCATAGAACCAAGTGAATGTGCAGATTTGCTGCCAGGGTTTGTCTTGTACGTTGCCCCATTTCTCGGCCAGCGATGGCGCCGCTGGGGGTTTCGTGTTCTTCGCTTGGAGATCTTGCTTGAGAGGAGCTACATTCCTTCGGAGCAATGTGACTAACCTAGAGGAAGTAAGTTCTCTCTTCCTTGTTTTATTGGCTTTGACGAAGGGCAAACGCCAGGGGGCGCGCCTGTGAATAAGTACGTATGGTTTTGGAACCACGCCAATTGTGCGTGCTAGCTCATCGCTAGGGAGTTTCCAAGAGGTAAAAGCTTCTCTGTAGAAAATAAAAATCACTGTAGAATTTTTCTTCTTCTTTCCAGGTCATGGAGAAAGGCGTTTCGTATGTCCCGTGCATGGATTCGCTTCGCTTGAAAAGCTTTCACTTCGATTTTCACTGCCAGGACGAGGTAAAATTGAATTCCTTTGCATTGGTGGAGTGTTTTTTTTTTTTCTTCTCACTTTATAGTACCAGGATGCTCGTCGAGAGACGCATGCTTGCACGAGCTAGATTGCATGATAATCATCGTAAACTAAGGTAAACTAAGGAAATCTGGTTCTCCAGATCTGGAAGGCCTGGTTATCAAAAGCTGGAATTTTTAATCAGTGATCTCGAGTGAATGGCGGTGCTAGTCGTCGGTGGCTCCGGCTATGTGGGGCTCCATCTTCTCAAGGCTCTGGCGGCCAGATACTCTCCGGAGAACATCGCTTACACGTACAACTCTCATCCTCCACCACTTTCGGAGCAACTGGGCGTTGGATACCGCGTGGATCTCACGACGGGACAAGGGCTCCAAGATCTGGCCCTCTCGGTTCATGTAAGTTCGCTTCTTTGGATCAATCAATCGATCGATATATTGATATCCTTCTCTCGCCCTTTCAGCCGAGAGTCGTTGTAAACTGTGCAGCCATGTCCGTGCCGCGGGACTGCGAAGAGAATCCACAAAAGGCCATGGCGGTCAATGTCCCTCGCGCGCTACTTCGCTATCTAGCGTCTCTACAAACTGGGGCTCCGCCACTGCTCGTTCACTTCTCCACGGATCAAGGTAAAAGGCCTCCAAAGTTTTTCCAAAACTTGTGTGTTCCAAAACTTTTGTGTTCTTGCTCCAGTGTACGAGGGGATCAAGCAGTTTTACGTTGAGACCGACGAGACAAAGCCAGTGAACGTCTACGGCCTGTCCAAGGTGGAGGCCGAGTTTCTGATTCGATCGACTTGGAGGAATTATGCCATCCTCCGGAGCAGTATAATCTACGGGCCGCAGCCAGTCGTCCACGTACAGAAGCCTCTCCCAGTCCAGGTACGTACGACGTACGCGCCTTAGTCTCTCACGCTCTTTCTCTCGTTTCCAGTGGATGGACATGGCCCTCTCTGCGAGAAGGCCGGTGGATTTCTTCCACGACGAGTACCGGTGCCCGATCTTCATCGGAGACGTCGTCAAGGTGGTGGCGCTTCTCATTACCCTGTCCGGTAAGAAAGAAAGCGAGTTTCCTCCAAAAGCTTCCTTCTAATGATCTCCTTGTTGGATTCCAAACTTATCACAGAGCAAAGTGGAGGAGCAATGCAACTAGTGCTCAATCTCGGAGGCCCCGAGAGACTCTCTCGCGCGGAGATGGCTCAAGTCGTGGCTCGAGTGAAAGGCTACCACCCTTCTTTGATCAATCAAGTTCCGGCTAGCTCGGTAAAGGCTTCCATAGAATTTCTTGCTTGATCTTGTCCCTCTTTCTCTTCCAGGTCGATCGAGGAGTGGCCAGCCCCGCGGATATCTCCATGGACGTGGAAAAGCTTCGGTCAACGCTGGGCATTTGCTTGACGCCGTTTGACGAGGGAGTCAGGCAAACGCTCATGTTAGCAGCTTAAACCTTTTTAATAAAGCCCGTGCGCTTATCATTTCCCTTGCCTGCCGTACACGTGGAATCACCTGGCTTTCTTGTCACCGTGGATCGTCGCTAGTGGCCGGCCTGACTAGAGAGCTACTAACTAGGCGATTAAATATCCACGGGCACCGGTAACTTGGACATGATATTTACCACGTGAGAGGTAACTTTACCTTCTCACTGGCTAGCTAGGTAAGACCGGTCATAAACCGGACAATGTGGACGAGAGGTACGGCTCTCCGGGGATTGAGATTTGGATTTCTTGCTTGGCATGTTTTGCCAGCGATTAACTGAACTTATCCCGGGTAAGTAAAATAATCGTTTGGCGCCAGAAAACATTCCGTCAGGTAGAGCATATTCTGATAGTTGCCCATTTGTAGTTTTATCTTAAGGGTGTGTTTTTGTGTTCCTCGATCGATGTTTTTCGATATGATGCCAGCTCTTGCCTCTCTCGATCGCCCCTCCTCGCCACCGCTCTGCAAGGAGGAAGATGTGGCGTCGCAGGCTATGGAGCTGGCGATGATGGCGCAGTGGCCGAGCTTGAGCACAGCCAGCGTCAAGGATTTGGATGGAATTGCTGCTGTTGTTGGGCAAAGGGCGCTCTTTGGAGGAGCTTCTTCTTCTTCCTCTGTGAGTGCTTTGAATGCTGGCAATGGCGATGGATCATCACAGGCATTGAGCTGTGATCGGAGAATGCAGGTCCCGCCGCTGCTCGAGATTGCGCCGCTCGCGATCGCGTCAAGCTCTTCATCGTCTCCTCCACCGGAGAAGAGCTCCAGCGCCCCCGCCGGCGCGAGCTCCTCCTCCATTTCCAGCTCGCCCAGGGCGTTTCGTGGAGTGAGGAAGAGGCCGTGGGGGCGATGGTCCGCGGAGATCCGCGACCGAATTGGGCGATGCCGCCACTGGCTCGGGACGTTCGACACGCCCGAGGACGCCGCCCGCGCCTACGACGCCGCCGCTCGCAAGCTCCGCGGCGCCAAAGCTCGCACCAATTTCTCCGTGCCGAGCTCCTCCATCTTCCCACTCCCGCCACTTCCTCATCGGCCTTCGACACCCTCGCCATCAATCTCATCGCGGGGAGCAGCTCCATCTTCCCCGGCATTGTCATGGCTCGATCTCAAACTCGGGAGCTCCGGGGGATCATCCTCCCCGAAGCAAAGGCCGAGCGGTGGATTACCTCCCACTCCAAGCAAGCTGGAGCTGGATTGAAAAGAACAAAAGCAGGATCCATCTCTACACAAAAGCCTAGAGAGGTTTTTTTCTTTCAGGTCTCTCCAGAAAGTACCACTGAGCTAAAAGACAGGAGAGCTAGATTCGATCAATTTTTACTCTCTGTGCACGAATATATTTTACGAATTTGGGCAGACGTCCTCTCCCTATCAATCTAGTTTCTTTTCTCTCCCTCTCTTTTATAAATTATGAAACCATTTATCATCTATATCTTTAGAGAAAATGGTCGCATTCCAGCCGTCGGATGGTGGTCCAGATGCCAGCCGTCGGATGGTGGTCCGGCATTGCATGCCAGCCGTCGGATGCTAGTCAAAAGAGAATTATGAGGCTAGAAAGGGGTCCAGGATGGAGCTAGTTTATAGCAGCGCCGCATAGTTTACAGGAGCTACTATACTACTAGTTCTTACTCCTCGAGCTCGCAAAAACGCTTACTAAAATGGGAGAGAAATAGTCTCTTGTTCGTACAATAAGTACCAAGTCTGGATTCCAAGTCACTGGTATGGGCTTGATAAGCCGAGGATATGCCTAGAGTGGGCATTTTTTTGAGGACAAGTTTTGCCTCCCAGGATGTAGTGCGGTGATTGATCTCAGATGCGAGCAATAGAAAATGGCAAAACTTGGATCTCAAATACCAATAGTCATGAACCGGATGTGTATTTTTACGCCCAGCTCTTGAGATCCTGCGCTGCCGCTCGTGACTTGGCACAAGCCAGGCGAGTTCATCGTCTCATCCTCGACTCCTCGCACCGCCAGGATCGCTACCTCGCGAACATAGTCGTGGAGATGTATGGAAAGTGTGGCAGCATTGAGGAGGCCAGGCGTGCCTTTGAGAATATCGAAGAGCCTAATACGTTCTCATGGAACATCATGGTGGCAGCGTATGCCCAAAATGGGTATATTGAAGATGCCAAGCGGTTCTTTCATCGGATACCCTTTCCAAATGTCATCTCCTGGAATGCAATGATTACACTGGAAGCTCAGAGTGGGAATCTCGACGAGGCCATCGCTCTCTTTACCACGGCTCCATTCACAGATGTGGTGTCATGGAACGCTATGATCTCCGGCTATGCCCACAACGGGCGTGTAGACGAGGCGGTCGATCTCTTTGATCGAATGCCGATGCGAAACCTAATATCTTGGAATGCGGTGATCACAGCTTGTGCTCACAACGGAAAGCTGGACCAAGCGAGGGTGTTTCTTGAGCAAACACCGGAGAGGGACGCAGTGGCTTTGAACTCAATGATCGTCGGCTATGGGCAATGCAAGGATCTGAAACAAGCCAAGGTTTGTTTTGATATTCTTCCAGATCCAGACATTATTTCGTGGACGAGCCTTGTGACTGCATATGCCCAAGCCGGGCATCTGGAGGAAGCTCGGGCATTGTTTGACTCCGTAAGGTGGCTTCCTAACATTGTTTTGTGGACTGCCATGCTGGATGCGTATTCCAGACATGGCCATCTTGATGAGGCAAGGCGCTTCTTTGACACCATGCCGGAACGCAACGTTGTTTCGTGGACTGCCATGCTTGCAGCGTATGCCGAGCATTGGGAACTGGAGCAAGCCAGAGCGATCTTTAACTCCATGCCGGAATCAAATGCATTCTCGTGGACGATTATGGTGGAGGCTTACGGGAAAAAGGGCCAGCTTCTAGAGGCGAGAATGCTTTTCGATAGAATGCCAAGCAGATCGCTTGTTTCGTGGACCACAATGGTGGCAGCATACGCCCTTAATGGACACTGCTTCGAGGCTCTAGAGGTTTTCGGAGGGATGGTAATGGGGGATTTGTGGCCGGACGATGTTGTTTTCGGAGGAGTTCTCGTGGCTTGCACCCATGCAGGCCTTGTGGAGCAATGCAGGAGCTACTTCGTGTCTATGCTGCTCGACTATGGGATCCGTGCGAGCGTGGAGCACTATGGCTGCTTGATCGATGTGTTTGCAAGGACGGGGCAGCTCAAGAGCGCCGAGGACCTGATCCGAAACATGCCCTTTTGCGAGGACCAGAACCTGTGGAACAGTTTGCTGGGGGCTTGCAAGCTCCAGGAGGACATGAAGCAAGGGATGAGGGTGCTTCCCGAGCTAAACCCCGATGATTCTTCGGCATACGTGTTGGTTTCCAACTTGTGCAAGGCAAGAGCTTAGCGAAAATGGGATTCCCATACACAAAATCGTCAATATTTAGGGTTCTTCCGATCAAGAGCTCTTATGGAGGCCGGGACGATCGTGCAGCTGCCGGAGCTGCTGGAGCCAGGATCGCCCTTTTGCCGCCACATGAAATCGTTGCGCGTCATGGGAACGTAAGGCCCGCGTTGTCTTTCTTTCTTTTCTTCGCATCTCTCGAGGCTGATCGTTGGTTCGTGACAGGCTCGAAAGCTTCGATGTGGAGTCTGGCGTCGCCCACATTCGCCACGAGGGCGCCAGCCTCGCGGTGGACACGACGCTGCTGCGCGACATCCACCTCCGCCCGGGCTCGCTCTACCAGTTCATCGGAGAGCTCTTGCTCCAGGTTTTCTAGCCGAGGTTTTCTAGCCTTCTTTAACGCTCTCGACCGTGATTTCGATCGCCCAGAGCGGGATGATGCTCCGGGCCAGAGTCGCGCGCAATGTGGATGGATTGGACGTCAAGCTCTACGAGAAAGCCTTGCGTCTCCGGAGGATCTTTCAAGAGCAGCGCGCAACGTCTAGTCCTAGATAGATCAAATGAGAGAGAAATGCGTTGACCTAATTAGCGCTCGAAAAAGGTAAGTCCGTGACTTCCACCCTTGTTCCGTGACTCCATCCTCCTTCCGTGACAGTTGAGTTGCTCCTCACAGATCTCAGCATGGCCGCCGCTGGTCCGGGCAGCGACATTCCTCGCGACGATGATCCAGCAGCAGCGCGAGACGATGATCGCAAGAACGGAGACAAACTGTCGGAGGAGGAGCAATCCCCGATCGAGGAGGTCGCGCTCACGGTTCCAACCACGGACGACGCGTCCCTGCCGGTTTACACGTTCCGGATGTGGACGCTGGGCCTCCTCTCGTGCGCGCTGCTCGCATTCATCAACCAGTTCTTCTCCTACCGCACCGAGCCGCTGACGGTGGGTGTCATCTCCGCCCAGATCGCCGCGTTGCCGCTGGGCCGCCTCATGGCGGCGGCGCTCCCCTCCGCCCAGCTCCGCCTCCTCGGCCGCTCCTTCTCGCTCAATCCCGGCCCCTTCAACGTCAAGGAGCACGTCCTCATCACCATCTTCGCCAACGCTGGAGCCGGCGGCGCCTACGCCATTGGCATTGTCAACATTGTCAAGGCCTTCTATGGCCGAGAGCTCAGCTTCGTCGTCGCGCTCCTCATCACTCTCACCACTCAGGCAAGCTCCTCCTTGGATCGAAAGTCTTCTCACAGTCCCAGACTCTAGATCCAGATCTCTTTCTCTTCGTTGTTCTTCGTTCTTTTCCGAGCCTTGGTTGACCTTTGAGTGCTTTGATGCTTTGATCTTCTTAGATCACTGGATATGGCTGGGCCGGGATCTTTCGACGCTACCTGGTGGATCCCGCCGAGATGTGGTGGCCCTCCAATCTGGTCCAAGTCTCCATCTTCAAGTAAGTGCGCCGTCGTGTTCTTTGTTCTCTTGCGGTCGCTGAAACAGTCGATTTTGCTGGCACTAGTACGCTCCACGAGAAGGACAGCCGGCGGAAAGGCGACGTTACCAGGTTGCAGTTCTTCCTTATCACCCTGGCTTGCAGCTTCCTCTACTACTCGCTACCCGGTTACCTCTTCAAGACGCTGACGTCCATCTCGTGGGTGTGCTGGGCCTGGCCGAAGTCGGTCTTGGCACACCAGCTCGGGTCTGGAATGAGCGGCATGGGGATTGGAGCCGTCGGTTTCGACTGGTCGACGGTGGCCTCGTATCTCTCCAGCCCGCTGGCGACTCCGTGGTTTGCCATCGCCAACGTCATGGTCGGGTTCCTCATCGTCATGTATGTCATCACCCCCGCAGCGTACTTTAGCAACGTCTACAGTGCGAAGACGTTCCCGATCTTCTCCAGTCAGCTGTTTGCCGACGATGGATCGCGGTATAACATCTCCCGGGTGGTGAACGAGAGGTTTGAGCTCGACGTCCAGGCGTATAACAGCTACAGCAAGCTCAACCTCAGCACTTTCTTCGTCTTCACTTACGGTGTGGGATTTGCCGCGCTCACCGCGACGGTGTCTCATGTGGTGCTCTTCCATGGGAAGTAAGTTTTCTGGATTGATGGAATGAAACTCACCGGAATTTTTGTCATCTCTTCGCAGGGAGATGTGGAGTCGGGCCGTGGCTGCTTTTCACGCTGAGAAACTCGACGTCCATACGAGATTGATGCGCAAGTACAAGCCGTGTCCGCAGTGGTGGTTTCTGGCGCTGTTGGCGCTCTCCATCTTCGGATCCATCATCACTTGCGTGGTTTTCAAAGACCAAGTTCAGCTGCCGTGGTGGGGAGTCCTCCTGGCCTGCGGCCTTGCGTTCGTCTTCACGCTGCCGATCGGGGTGATCACGGCAACGACAAACCAGGTAAAAGCATGCAAGTTTTCGAGGATTTTCTAACCAGGAAAACGTTCCAGACTCCTGGCCTCAACGTGATCACGGAGTTCATCATCGGCTACATGTACCCCGGACGCCCCGTCGCCAACGTTTGCTTCAAGACTTACGGCTACATAAGCATGCTCCAAGCGATCACCTTCCTGGCGGACTTCAAGCTCGGGCACTACATGAAGATCCCTCCTCGCTCGATGTTCACGGTCCAGGTAACTTTGCTCTCTAGAGAAACGAACGAGGCCATTTAACTTCCACTCTTGCGTTGCTACCAGATCATCGGGACCGTGGTGGCGGCGCTCGTCAACTTAGGCACCGCCTGGTGGCTCCTCACGTCCGTGGACAACATCTGCCACACCGACAAGCTCCCGCAAGGCAGCCCCTGGACGTGCCCGAGCGACCGCGTCTTCTTCAGCGCCTCGGTCATCTGGGGCCTCATCGGTCCCAATCGGATCTTCGGCTCCCTCGGCCACTACCAGGCGATCAACTGGTTCTTCCTGGTCGGGGCGGTGGCGCCGCTGCTCGTCTGGCTGGCCGCCAAGGCCTTCCCTCGCCAGCGCTGGATCCGCTACGTCAACATGCCCATCCTCATCGGCGCCACTGGAAACATGCCGCCGGCGACGTCCGTGAACTACACGAGCTGGTTCGTGGTGGGATTCATCTTCAACTACTTAATCTTCAAGCACCGGAAGCAGTGGTGGACGCGGTATAACTACGTCCTCTCCGCGGCTATGGACGCCGGGCTGGCGTTCATGGGGATCTTCCTCTACTTTGCGACGAGGGAAGATCGAATTGAGCTCGCTTGGTGGGGGCAGGACGTGGATAACTGCCCGCTAGCGTCGTGCCCGGCTGCCAAAGGAGCTCGCAGTAGCGATTGTCCTCTCAGCGCATCGTGAAGGAGACGATGGTTCTTCCAGCTCCCATGGATGGTTCTTCCAGCTCCCATGGATGGCTCTTCCAGCTTCCATCGATGGTTCTTCCAGCCTCCATCGATGGTTCTTTGAGCTTCTTCCAGCTTCTTCCAGCTTCCATTCTTTCATGCCTTGTAAAGATCTTATATACCCCCATTTAATTTCTACCTTCCAAGATTTTTGTTTTAGGGCTTAGATCGCGGAGCCATGGGGATGGTGGAGGCGCTGATCCGGCATCCCGGCGAGCTGCCGGCGCTCTTGCAGATGAAGATCGCAGCTGCGCGCGCTGCTCATGCATTGCCGGAGGATCCACACATGGCCTACTGCTACCGGATCTTGCTGCTCGTCTCCCGGAGCTTCGCGGTTGTCGTCCAGCACCTGAATCAGGAGATTCGCGATGCGGTGAGTGGATTGATGAGAGGGGGAAGCAATGCTTCGCTGAGATCTCCTTGCATTGCTCGAGGCGATTGACTTTATTCCGTTTTTTTCCCCCTTTCTTCCAGGTGTGTATCTTCTATGTGGTGTTACGTGCGCTGGATACTGTTGGTGAGTGATGCTTGGATATTCTGTTTATTTCTGATTTGCGGCGTCCTTTTCTAGAGGATGATATGAGCATTCCCGTGGAAACGAAGACTACTGTGCTGGAGGAATTCTACAAACACTTGGAGGATCCAACTTGGCGATTCGTTTGTAAGTGGAATTTTTATATTGTTGTCAACTCTCACTCTCTTATTGCGTTTAGGTGGAGAAAAGCATTGCAGGGAGCTCATGAAGAACTTCAATCACCTGTCTCTTGCGTTTCTTCAGCTGTCCAAGGAGTAATGGGATTCCTTTTTTTTTTTTCTCTCTCCTCTTCGTTGGTTTTTTTACCAAGATCCACTTGCAGATACCAGTATGTTATCAGCGATATTACGAAAAGGATGGGATATGGGATGGCTGAGTTTATTCGGAAAGAGGTAGTTTCATCTTTCCTCTTGTCTCAAGCTAAGATTTTGTTACGGCAGGTCGTTACAGTATCGGATTATGACAAGTACTGCTATTATGTGGCGGGTTTAGTTGGAGTTGGCTTGTCACATCTTTTCAACTCTTCACGACTTGAAGACCTGGATCAGAGACTTATAGAACCTGATAATGACCAATCATTAGTTCCCGAGTACCCTGCAATTTCAATGGGCCGATTCTTGCAGGTAAACGTGGTTTATTTAGTTGCGAGTCTAACTTTGCTGGCTTGCAGAAAGTCAACATAATAAGAGATTACCTGGAAGACATCAACGAGCTTCCAGCCCCTCGTATGTTTTGGCCCCGTGAAATCTGGGGAAAGTATGCTCCGACTTCTCTCCTTTCGGTATGTACACGGCAATGCATACGGTTCTATAAAGAAGATGGTTGTGGCCTCTGAGCAGGACTTTAGAGACGAGAGCAACGAGAAGGAAGCTGTTGAATGCCTAAACGACATGATTACCGACTGCCTTAGACACGCGCCAGAGTGTCTTTTCTACATGTCCAAGCTTAAAAATCCTTCAGTGTTTCGGTTTTGCGCTGTGCCACAGGTAAATTGCTTTCTGTCTTCCACTTGATAACAGGTCTGAGTTTTTGGCAGGTCATGGCTATAGCTACTGCGGCAGTGTGCTACAATAATCCTCAAGTTTTTAGAGGGGTTGTGAAGATACGGCGTGGTTAGTCTTGCGTGCTGTCTTATCACCAGAAATCGATTTTACTCTTCTGTTTCAGGGACAACCGCGAAAATAATAGTGACAACGAATAACATGGCTGACGTCTGTGGAGCATTTTATGACTTCGCGAGTATTCTGGCGTCAAAGGTTCACTACATAGTTTCTTCTTGCTTGACTAAGTTTAGAATTCGTCATTTACAGATAAATAAGAACGATCCGTCGGCTTTGATCGCTGCCGAACGTGTAGAGAATATATTCAAGGCTTGTCGACAGTATGGCTTGTCATCCAGCAGGTAAATAAAAATCCAGCTCATTTATCTCATTTATCACTTCATTTCACACAGGAAGAATTACACAATTGAAACTGGCGCTATCTCTGCAAAGAGAAGTTTCCTGGTACGTAAGTCGTAGATCTCCTTTTGATGTTTCCTGTCCCCTGATCTCTTGTTTTGTGCATGGCCAGGTTATTCTTGTGTTTGTGTTGGTATTCTTATATGTGCTAGTTTTGCTATTCTTTAAAGTTTAAAACGACTGCCAAAAAAGGTTCTTTTGTGCCTAATTCGGATAAAAAAGAACTGCAGGATTCTTTAGATCTCACAACATGGCCGGTGCTGGTGTGGAGTTAGTAGCTCTTGGTGACTTGCCAATGGATGAACGTGATACTGGGGATGACGAGCAATCTCCAATCGATCAGGTGGCAATGACAGTAAGCACAAGTGATGATCCAGCGGTTCCGGTTTGGACTTTTAGAATGTGGACAATCGGCCTTTTCTTTTGTATAGTGCTTTCCTTCGTCAACCAGTTCTTCTACTACAGAAAAGAGCCACTGACAGTTTCAGCGCTCTCTGGCCAGATCTTGGCTGTTGCGATTGGTCGCCTTATGGCTGCAACGCTTCCAAAGACAGTTTATCGGCTGCCTCTCACAAACTTTCACTTCACTCTGAACCCGGGGCCATTTAACAAGAAGGAACACGTTCTTATCACTGTCTTCGCAAACTCGGGCTTTGCATTTGGCAATGGAACCTCTTATGGAGTCTCCATTGTTGACATTATCAAAGCGTTTTACAAGAGGAAAATTTACTTCCATGCAGCTCTCCTGCTCGTTATTACGACTCAGGTAAGCTCGAAGTTTGTTTTCTAGTTCCGTCTAACATCAACCGTGTATTCGTTTACTTAGGTGCTTGGGTATGGATGGGCGGGACTGCTTCGAAAGCATTTGGTTGAGCCCGCAAATATGTGGTGGCCTGCAAATCTCGTTCAAGTCTCACTCTTCGAGTACGTTTTTCAGAGTTTTTCTTTTATCGTTCTGATTTCTTCCGTGCTGTTGCAAAAGGACTCTACACGAGAAGGAGAGCAAGAAGGGCTTATCGCGGCTTAAGTTTTTTCTTATTGTTCTGGCAGTCAGCTTTGCTTACTATATTATCCCCGGTTATATGTTCACGGCACTCACCTCAGTGTCATGGGTATGCTGGGCCTTTCCACGTTCAGTATTGGCACAGCAGCTTGGCTCTGGCTTAAATGGTCTTGGACTTGGCTCGTTTGCCTTGGATTGGTCCACATTTCAATCGTTTCTACAGAGCCCGCTAATAACACCATGGGTTCCAATTGCAAACGTGCTGGCTGGTTTTATTATTATGGTTTATATCGTGATTCCAGCGTTTTACTGGACAAACGTCTACGATGCTAAGAAGTTTCCAATCTTCAGTAGCAAGCTCTTCCAGGGGAATGGAACGCCTTACAACGTCCACAAGATTGTCAATGAAAACTTCGAGATTGACATGGCTGCCTACAAAGAGCAAGGGGAGGTTCATTTGAGCACCTTTTTCGCGATGGCTTATGGCCTTGGTTTTGCCAGCGTCGCTTCTGTGATCACCCATATTATTTGCTTTCATGGAAAGTAAGTCACGAAGCATTTTTTTTTCTTTATTTTCCTTTTTTGGTTATCTTACTATTTCTTTCCAGAGAGATTTGGCAGAGAAGCAGATCTGTTCTAAACGAGAAACCCGACATTCATACGCGGCTGATGAAAAAGTATCCAACAATACCATACAAATGGTTTGTTGTTCTTATGTTCTTATCAATCGCCGTTGCCGTCGGTACTTGCGTCGGTTTTAAGCACCAATTGCAACTTCCGTGGTGGGGGGTTCTCCTGGCTTGCGCGCTCGCGATCGTCTTCACCTTACCAATTGGTATTATCACCGCTACAACCAACATTGTAAGTTTTTTTCGAGTTTTTTTATTTCTTTCCTCACCAGCTTCGCAGACTCCAGGCTTGAACGTGATCACCGAGTACATAATTGGATATATGCTACCGGGCAAGCCAATTGCCAACGTGTGCTTCAAGACTTACGGTTATATCAGCATGACCCAGGCCATCTCGTTCCTGCAAGACTTCAAGCTTGGCCATTACATGAAAGTCCCGCCGAGATCAATGTTTGCTGTCCAGGTATGATATCATAGAAAACGCATTTCAAGTTCTCCAACTGTAAACATTGTCCTCTTTTTCTCACCAAGGTCCTCGGCACCATCGTAGCGGCAGTCGTGAACGTTGCCACGGCATGGTGGATGCTCACCAGCGTCGAAAACATCTGCGACACGGACAAGCTCCCGGCGGACAGCCCCTGGACGTGCCCGAACGACAGCGTCTTCTACAGCGCCTCGGTCATCTGGGGGCTCATCGGCCCCAAGCGGATCTTCGGCAGCCTAGGAAACTACTCGGAGCTCTCCTGGTTCTTCCTGGTGGGAGCTCTAGCTCCGGTCGTCCTGTGGCTGCTCACCAAGGCCTTCCCTCGCGCACGGTGGCTGAGCTACATCAACCTCCCCGTGATCTTGGGCGCCACCTCGATGATGCCCCCGGCCTCGGCCGTGAACTACATCTCCTGGACCAGCGTCGGCCTCTTCTTCAACTATTTCGTCTACACGTATCGCAGGAGGTGGTGGCAGCGATACAACTACGTTCTATCGGCCGCGCTGGACGCCGGCGTCGCGTTCATGGGCGTCTTGCTCTACTTCGCGCTCCAGATGAACGGCACCAGCGTTACGTGGTGGGGGAACGATAGTCACTGCCCGCTCGCGAGGTGTCCCACGTATCCCGGGATCGTCGTCCCGGGTTGCCCGGTCATATAGATCTTTCTTCTTGGTATTTATTATCTTTGCATAGAAGAAGCACTCGAGCTTTTTTCTCTACGCGCTGTCGTTGACTTTGCTCACCACTGCCACCGCGGTGGTGATGAGCGATGCGTAGAGCGCGCTGGGGATTTTCTTCACCACTGGGCCGACTCCGGGGACTCGCTCGGTGGCCGACTTTGTGAGGAGTGCAAGGCACGGCGCCGCGATGGAGAAGATGAGGATGTTCTTACTTAGACGCATCGCCAGGTTCCCTGTGAACTTCTCCACAAAGCCCATGAACTCCTTGCGGTCCAGAACGCCGTTTCGATTCGTGTCGTATAGCTGTAACAGTGTGCTTTTTAGCGATTAAGAGAAGAGTTCGAATCACTCACATCGAGCATCTCTTGCACCTCTTCCCTGGCTGGCGGGTCGTAATGGGGACCCGGAAAATGCTTGTTTATATCGCTGCGTGTGTATTGTGAGTGGATTTTGATACCGATAGAGATGAATTGACTTACTTGTACACGAGCAGAATGGCGGTGTAGAGCTCCTGGAAGGAGATGAAATCGTTGCCATTGTGTGCCGTGAAGTGGTCAAAGACCCGATCTATGATGCCTTGCACTTGCAGCTCCTTCGCTGCAAGGCAAAAGCTCCATTTCTATGCGAGAGAAAATAGCCAAAAAGCATACCTTGGAGCTGACCCATGCCTCACCAAAAGTTCCTGACCAATTGATCTCCCAAATCACACCTGAGCTTGGCGACAAGGATTAGAGAGAAATTTCAGCTCACCAGTCCAAATTCACAAAATTCGACCTGGATGTCTGAAAATGGAAGACGACACACCAAAGCTGTGAACGCACCGTCCGCCCACCAACTACAACAAAAGCGAGGAAAAAGAAAAATGGGGGGACATGCCAAGAACAGCAGCACTTGTAGTTAAAAACGATCGAAAAAAATAGTAAACAAAGAATTAACACTTCGGGAGAGAAAAATTTAGAAAAACTGACCACAGAACTGTGGTTTGCTTGGTGCACCAGTTACATTCATTTCATCCTTCCCCACATGTTTTGCTAGCTGAGATCCATCCATCAAAAAGCCCATCAAAAAGATTTACAAAGAAAGAAAAAACAAAGAAAGCTTTTGAATCGCAAACCTCTTGTCTTTCCTCCCGGCTTTTCTCTTTCGTTCTTGGTTGTAGCAGTGCTTTGTCAAGTCCCGGCCGGTACAGTCTTGGCCTTCGCTGCCGCTGCCGCCGCCGCCGCAGCAGCCGCTGCTGCTGCTGCCGCCGCTGCTGCCGACTGTGGAGGAGTGGGGACGAGCGCGGGTGGAGTTGGCAGTGGACTCGGCAGCGGAGCTCCCTGGGAGCTCACTTGAGCGAGCAGTGCCTTGATCTGCAACCCCGTTAGCGTCTCGCGTTCCAGGAGGGCCTTCGCTAGCGCGTGAAGCTCGCGCTGGTGCGTGGTAAGGATCGTCTTTGCATTGTCGTAGGCCCGTTGGAGCAGCTCCCGGACCTCGTTCTCGACCAGCAGCCTCGTCTCCGTGCTCATGTTCTTGCCGTCGTCTTCGTAGTTGTGGGACACGACCCCCACCTCCTTGCTCATGCCGTACTTGGTGACCATCTCGCGGGCCAGCCGAGTCGCCGACTTTATGTCCGAGGCCGCCCCCGACGTGACCTCGTTCTCCCCGAAGATGAGCTCCTCCGCCACCCTTCCCCCCATGCAAACGTCCAGCCTTGCCAGCATCTGCTTCCGCGAGAAGCTCGTCTCGTCCTTGTCTGGCAGCTGCGCGACCATTCCCAGTGCCATTCCCCGCGGGACGATAGTGGCTTTGTGGACGGGGAGAGCGCCGTCCGTGTGGATCGCCACTAGCGCATGACCGCCTTCGTGGTAAGCTGTGAGCTGCCGGGATTCTTCTGAGATCACGGCCGACTTCCTTTCACTTCCCATCATGATCTTGTCCTTGGCGTACTCGAGGTCCTCCATCCCCACATTCTTCTGACCATCCATGGCTGCTTTAAGAGCTGCTACGTTCACCAAGTTCGCGAGATCCGCACCGGAGAAGCCAGGAGTGCCTCTCGCTATGATCGACAAATCCACATCCTCGTTTTTAGGAACCTGGAAAGAACAAGATTTAACAAGAGAATCAGCAAGGATTGAATTCTACCTTGGTCATGTGAGAATCTAGAATTTGCCTGCGGCCTTCCACGTCTGGATTTGGAACCACCACATGCCGATCGAACCGACCAGGACGGACAAGCGCCTTGTCGAGAGATTCGGGGAAGTTCGTAGCCGCGATCACTATGATGCCTTCGTTTTGCTTGAAACCGTCCAGCTCCACCAACAGCTGGTTCAGTGTCATCTTCATGTACTGTTGGTCCTTGGGATTTCGGCTCCCACCTATTGCATCAATTTCGTCCATAAAGATTATGCATGGCGAGCGCTTCTTCGCAGCTGCGAATAAGTCCCGCACTCGCCGAGCACCAACTCCGACGAACATTTCCTCGAACTCGCTCCCGCTGCAATAGAAAAACGGTACCCCTGCTTCACCAGCAATTGCCCGAGCCAGCATCGTCTTTCCTGTCCCAGGAGGCCCAACCAGAAGGACGCCTTTCGGTAGCTTGCCACCTAAACGGGTAAATTTCTGCAAAGAAGCAACCGAGACTGGAGTTACAAACCGGAGAAACACGAAAGAAAAATAGATAAAGCAATGACCTTTGGATCCCGAAGATAGTGAACAATCTCCTCCAACTCCGCTTTGGCTTCGTCGACTCCTTTCACGTCACTGAACTTGGTGTTAGACTCCAAGCTTGGCTGTACCTCCTCATTGAGACCCAGCCCTGCCAGGAACCAGGGGCGTGAGTAAGACCTCCTTTCCTATACAGACAAGGATGCCAGTTCAACACGTAGGCAAGACCTTAAAACAAACGCATCCATGCATTGCAAGCCATGCTCTACGATGCTTACCTTTGCTGAGGCCCTTGTCCTCGATAATGGCCCCAACGCCAGAGAGAAGTAGAAAGCCCAGAGCCAAGGTTCGAACAGTTCGCCACACTTGAACTCTAAAACCTCCTTCGGACGTGACCATGTGGATTGGCGCACTGGGAGAGCCCAAAATTCCGTCTTTCGTGGCTGTTCCTACTGCCGGAAACGCCGAAGACATGATCGGTCGCGCCTCAGCTTGAAAACTTCCTAGCGATGCAGTTGCTCCTACACGGTTAAAACAAAATAAAAGAGGATCAGATCCGATAAAGAAAGAGTTACAGCGTTTACCTCTTTGCAGCGTTTTCAACAAGGCACTGTCATCGAGCCTATCGACCTTGACGAGAGCTTTGAGATACTCGGCCAAAGCACCGGCGCTGTGCTGCGGAAGTGGTCTACTCTCGAACCACCAAATCACTCCCTCGGGATCCACCTTGTTAAGATCTCTTAGAAACTTCACTTGTTTCTCCTGAGCATCGGGCCCTCCTTCTCTCTCCAGCTGCTCCAGCCTTCTCGAGAAATTGCTTGTGTAGCTGGACATGCAGCGTCTCTTGAGGCGATTCAACACGATCCCTGCGCCATCCGAAATTCAAGCATCATTAGCAACGGGAAGAGGACGAGGGAAATCGGATAGAAAAATGCCTGCATCCAGCTGCTTCAACACAATCGCGCGTCCCAGCCCATACAAGGATGTCGCCGACACCATCTGCTTGGCGGAGGAGCCTCCCTGTTGTCGAAATCCGCGGGCAATCAGCGCGGGCGCAGCCCTAATGGGAGAGAGGAAAGAGAGCGCCATACCTTCTCCAGCAACTGACGCCATGCCATGCCGCCCGAGCTCCCAAAATCGATCCTTCACGCGCTAGGGCGCCCTGGCAGCCACCGCCTCCTGGAGAAGTCCCCAAACCATCAAGAACACGAGAATGCCCAGAGGGTTTCAACCCCTTCTTCTCGCTCCTCCGCGTTTCGATTCCCCCTGCCAGCCCTAATTTCGTGGCATATTCTCCCGCGTGAGGCGGAATATTCTAAAAGTACACATTCGAAAAAAAAAAACCCCAGCCTTTTGGCTGGTTATATAATACAAAGAAAACTGTACATTCTCTTCATTGTAAAAAATGTTGTGCTAACGTTATGGGGGCAGCACCGAGTTTCTTCGTTCTTTAGAATTTCTTCCACGAAAACCAGTCGATCGATCATCGGTTCTGGAAGTTGAAAACTTTGATGCAGATGGCGAAGCACACCGCGAAGACGACGACGAGGCCGACGTGAACTCCGGCCACGACGCCCAAGAAGTCGTGCCTGAACCCAAAGTAGGACCTCAAGAAGCGCTCCACGGTCGTCTCTTCGCCGTCGGCCCGGAACAACGGCGTGGTGACATCTCCAAGCTGAGACGTGAGGAGGCCGTAGAGAGACCACGCCGGTGGCGAGGCCCAGTAGTACCACCTCCACCACACTGGAATCGCCTGAGAGACACCAAGAAACAAACCAAAGTGTTAAGAAATCGGAAAAGAAATGTGTGGAATTCATGAACTTACGGGTCGAGGGATGATGAAGCCAGAGAACAGGTTCCAGATTGCGTAGAATGCCGAGGATACGATGGCTGCAATCTGGTCGTTGGGTGTCAGCGCCACCGTCACCATGCCGTAGAGCGTGAAGTAGAGGAACGTCATGTACAAGAAGAAGATGAACCACAGGAACTTGGCTGCTGTCCATTCCAGCTGCATCGTCGCGTACACAATGAGTCCATACGTGAAGGCTTGCACGAACACGTAGGGAATCTCGATCAGGACCTGGACGCACGGAGTTTTCCTTGATGAGTCAAACGAAATCTGAAGAGTCGGATGTATGCCTTACCTGAGCAAAAGCATATGGAAGGGGAGAGTACATTCCAGCGGCTCTTTCTCGATAGTAGACCGTTCGCTCGACAGCAACGACTGGCTGTACTCCTGATGCATTGCTGACCCCAAGGAAGAGCACAGCAGCGTATATAGATCCCATCAGATTAAAGAGGTCTTGTTCTCTTGATCTGCTCACGAGAGAAAGGCAGGAGTCAGAACCAACGCTCGATTGAACTACACAGCGTTTACCTTTTGGAGCCGATGTCCCAAAACATTGTGCCAAACATTATCGCGACAACCAAGGTGAAGAACATGCGAACCAGAACGTAGTATGGATTTTTCCAGTATGACTGATGTTGTTTCCACAAGCATCCCATGACCTGTCCGAGGAACGACAGAGGGTATTGCGTTGGAAACCATATGTCTTCCGTGCCGGGAACCGGAGTGCTCAGCTGAGTAATAATAGCTTCATTGTGCCTAGACACACCAGTGGTTTAGCCAAGAAAGAGATAATGGTCAAGTGTGCTTACTGGTAGACTGAAGAAGTTTTATAGATGTCCGCAAAATCTACTCCCAGACGATTCTCCACGTCTGCAGCGGTAACCTCTAACATCCATGTAGCTGGATTGTATCCTTCTCTTATGTTAGGAACACCGCTAATACCCTGGGGAAATTAATCCATATAAATCATCTCAAGTCTGCAAGAACAAAGCAAGCGACTTACCTGGAAGTATTCAACAAGTTTGTGCGAGTTCTTTCCCAAGGAACCTGCGTAGATAACGCGCCCTCCGCGTTTCATCAACAGAAGCTGGAGAAAGCAGGCAGGTTTTCAAGAGAGTTTGCAAGGTAATAATCGCGTACCTCATCGAAGGCCTCAAAAATGTCAATGCTAGGCTGATGAATGGTGCAGACGACAGTGCGACCGGTGTCGACAGTGTTCCGGACCGTTCTCATGACAATTGCTGCCGCTCGTGCATCCAGTCCGGAAGTTGGCTCGTCCATGAAAATGATTGAAGGATTTGCAACGAGCTCCACGGCAATTGTCAGTCGTTTCCGCTGCTCGGTCGAAAGTCCATCAACTCCAGGGAGACCAACCAACGCATCCCGGAGAGGGTTAAGCTCTACAAGCTCCATAACTTCTTCCACAAACATCTGTTCCAAAACTCACCTTAGCAAATTTGACTACGAAAAACATCTCTCTCCTTACCTTTTTCGTCCCCTTATCAATGTCATCCGATAGTCGGAGCCAAGCAGAATAAACCAGTGACTCGTACACTGTAACGTTGGGTGAATGAATGTCAGTTTGTTCGCAATAACCCGAAATCCTAGCAAAAGTAGCCTGGTTTTTGGGATAGCCGGAGATGCGAATGTCGCCTTCAATGTAGCCACCAGTTTTACGCCCGGCTAAAACATCCATGAGAGTTGTCTTTCCAGCACCGCTTACACCGACAAGAGCCGTGAGAACTCCAGGCCTGAAGCTACTGCTTACGTCATGCAGCAACTGTAATCTATTTTCTGTCACGCCTTGTTGCTTCATTTCCTGTTACAAGTGCATTAGAACTCAATATCCTACAAAGGAAATGCGTAAAAGCATACCGCGGGCATGTCAACGTAGTAGTTAACATGATTGAATGACATTGCTAAAGGTTGAAACGGGAGTATCATTCCCCTTTTAGAATCGGCACCCATTCGACCAGACGTAAGCTCCAAATCTCCTGGCATTCGATGTTAGACCATATAATGAAATTTGTGATGGCGCCATTACCTGCATTAGAAGATCTGCCCGATCGCTTTGATTTTGCACGCACTGATCTTTCTGAGACTTCGCCGGTGCGGTTCACGTTTTGCTCTTCTAGTATTTCCTCAGACACTACGGCCTGCGGGTTTCCAGGAGCTGTTTAAATAGAAAAAATGAGTACCTACATGGAGAAAAGAAATAGATTTCTACGTACCGCTGAAGTAAGCGAGTGCCAAAGTGAAAAAAACGTTGAAGAAAATGGCATAAGCCAACTGAGCACCAGTTCCAAGCCAATACCAGTTTTTATTGGGGAACAGGCCTCGAGACTCTAGAACTTGGTTGCCAACGGTGGTGGTCTGATTGGCATTTTCGAGAATCTGCCATCTTGATGCACTGAACTCGTTCACGGCAAGCGCATTCTGTGCGTACATCATGGGCGACGACCAATATCCCCAAATCCACCAAGGTTCAATGTCCTCTGGAAATTAAAGACCATTATAAGTTGTGCTACCTGAGTATAGTCAATGGATTACCTCTAGAAAGAAGAAAACCACCGAGGACAAGAACTATCAGCAGCGCGAAAGAGCCGAAGGTGTTCGCTACAACCATAGTCCGAGAAAGTGAAGCAATGAATCGGAAAAGACCTCCCGACATTTGATGAATTAAGAACATGAGGAGGAACTGCTGGAAGAATCTGAAACGCTCAAACATAAAATATCAACACTATTTCTCACTTGACATCAATGTAACAAACCTGGCGGCACTAGGAGCAAATCCAACCACGTAGTACGTCATGCACACCCAAAGTGCTGATTCGAGCAGGGACACTGGAATTCGAGTGATCAAGGTAGGAAGAGAAAATGCCCACGCAGGAAATAGCATCTGGTCCCGCTGCTTGTAAAATACTGGAAGGCGCGCAATGGTCATCGCCAACTCCGCAAATCCATTAAACATGACGATGATCAGGCCGAAGAACAAGGCTCCCATGTAGAGACCGCCATCGCCAACAGTTCTGTGATGCATTTCGGTCCGGAGAAACACAGTCATCGTGATAAAGGCCAGAAGAATCAGCTGCATTGGAAATTTTAGTATCAGATATATGGATTTTAGTCTTCGATAACATACCTGAGAACCTTTGAACACGTAGACGAATGAGTTCCTCTTCATCAAAAGTATCTCCCGCGCCAAGAGAGCCTTGAAAAGCTCCCAGTTACTAAGAGCGTACTTCTGAGTGACAAGAGCTGCCGGATGGCTTTTACTCTTGTCAAAAGGCCGCGCCAATTCTTCAGCAATGTTCTGACCGACATGGAACTTTTGAAAGGCATCCGCGAACTCCTGGACAGGTATAAATCTGTATGGCATCCTCTTGTCAGCCCAATACTGTTCCTGGTCTTTCCTTGACGTAACTTCTTGCAAAAAGTCCGCGACACCTTTCCTCGGAGGACATTTAAATCCCTTCGTCTCGAAGAAATCCAACACGAGTTCCCGGGGCCCCTGATATACAATCTGCCCCTCCGATAGAAGAATCAAGTCGTCGAAAAGCTCAAACGTCTCGGGAGCAGGCTGGAGCAAGGAGATGACCATGGTAGCATCGAGCACATGGACAAACTGCCTTAAGCTCTTCACTATCTGAAATGTGGTCGAGCTGTCAAGACCGGTTGAAATCTCGTCCATGAAAAGAGACTTTGCAGGCCCAACGAGCATCTCTCCTGCAAATTAAACATTTGTCATAAACAAATCGTGACCAAAAAGCTTCCAAGTCTTACCTGTAGTGACACGCTTCTTTTGTCCTCCAGAAATACCCCTGCGCATGGCGTCTCCGACAAGTATATCAGAACAAACGTCCAAACCCAAAATCTGGAAGCGAAAAAATGCATGAGAACCGCGAATTCTCTTTGATCACGATCCAAAACACGCTTACCTTCAGCACATAGTCCGTTACAATGGAGGTCTCCTGACCCTCTATAGCCGACGCCTGTAAGAAACTCGTAAGAACGCTGCCAACCAAAAAGTGCTTATTACCTTCATGAACGCATCAACATCAGGATCCGGTTTGATCTTGGCATTTTTCTCCCGTCTTGAAAGCTCCGTTATCATCTCTGACACAAGTTATAAGAAAGTCAATTCCACTTGCACGCCAACCCAGGACGTTGCTTACCATATCTGCTTCCCACGCCTTGACACCTAGAAGCAAAATCAAACGTCTCCCTCACTGTCAACTCCCCGCTATGCAAGTCGTGTTGGCTTATGTAAGCAGAAGTCCTTTGAGGCACAAATTCAGTCAATGTGTGGCCATTGTAGGTGACTCTCCCAGAAACCTGTAAAGTAAAATCTAAGATGAGAACCATCTCCTAAAAGCTAGAGGACTTCCTTGCCTTAAGGCTTTGGTCCAACTTTCCAGAAAGCGCCAGAAGCAGCGTAGTTTTCCCTGCGTTAGGAGGGCCTAGCAGAAGTGTCATCCTGTAGAGAAGTATGAGCACAAGATTTTTCGCCGAAAGCTGCAGCAATTTCGTTACCTGGAAGGCTTCACGATACCACTAACGTTGCGCAAAATCGTGAGGACGTGTTTCTTAGAAGGGAGCAAGTGTAGCTTTCCCAAGATTTGCTGGAAAAACAAATCACAACAAAAAAGTAAGAGCCAGAGAGCGATGAAAAGATTTTTTCGTTAATAGTACGAACCTCGGACATGTTGATGACAAAGTTAAGCAGCGTCGGTAGAGCTCGCTTGCCGACACGTACATCAGCTTCGATTTGAAGTCCTTCGTACCTCACCTCGATTTTGGGAAGGTCTATCCCGACTCTGACACAATTGTTCCAAGAGTGAGAAGAAACTCGAATCAAAACATTTCTACTACCTGTCGATCCTTTCCCGGAGCTTACGGATGAACATCTCGTTCTCCGTGTCCGTTGTTGCCAAGAGCTTCTCCACAAGATTCCTCCTCTCCGTGAGGCCCAAGGACTTGACATCAATGTGCTCGTGGCGAGTGCTCCCATGCTCGCCCACATTCTTGATTATGGCCGTCCGGAGGCGATCGTATGTGGGAAGCTTCTCCAGCGCGGCCCATTTCAGGGCCTCCTCATCGTCCACCTCCCTGACCGAGCTGCGCGAGAAGACATTTTCCGTCCACGATCGCGAGCTCGCCGCTCTCATCAGCTCCACGTCGGTCGGAGCCGCCATCGCTCCCCCCTTTTCCCCTCTTTCGCGATGATCCAATGCAATCTTTTCAGCAATATCTGGAATTCCGGGGCGAGGCGACCTACAAAATTCCACCCCCGATTCGACGAGCTACCACTAGAAGTCGAGTCGATCGAGATCCAGATCCCAGATCCTGGCGCTACATCCCTGGATCGATCGAGGAACGGAAAAGAGTTTGGGAGCTAGGGCTTTATATATTTGAAGATATGATAACTTCTTTGGACCATGACCCAAAAACTTCTACACACAACCCCATGCTGCTCCATGGAAGCTTCACATTTCGACGCTTCTAATGATCCAAGGGCTGGGATGGGATCTGACGGTCCAAACGCTTGACTAGATAGCACACGTGATGCTGTAGACCTCTCCTATGGAACATATGGAGAGTCCTCGCCATTAGAAAAAAAACTGTTCTAAGTAGGAGTGCTCTTCTCGACGCCGCCGCACACGCTTTGGCGTGGATGCAAAGTTTTCTTCCCGGGTTTTTGCGCGAAATTTCGAAACAGAAGCGTTGACCGCAGGGACAAGGGGTGAATATGCCGCGTACACCAGTTCTTTCAGCGATGGTGTTTGACCTGGAAGATTGACACCACCAAAAAGATTGGAAAAAAGAATGGTGGTTGCGACCGAAATCGTTCGGCTATTCAATGTGACCTGATCAAAGGTGTTTAGAAAGTTGCTAATTGTAGTAGCTTTTGATTACTAGAGAAATCTTGGAGTTATTTTATTCAATATAATAAATGGATTCAATCTCACAGATAACTAGTTTGCAATAATTGGAGTCAACTTTGATTTGCGATCTTTGAGCAGCATTCAAGATAGTACCACCACCTAGGATTACTAGCAGTTTTTTAAGTACAACTTGTTGTAGAGTTTGATCTCATTACTAGCAGCTTTTAAATACAATATGTGCTGTCATAAGATCTCACTGATTTTATTCGTCTTCGCTATATGCTAAACACTCGCGTTTGCAATCAAAACGATTTCAAAGAAAGCGATTGAGATTCTCATCTTGTAACCTTACAATCTTTTCGTCATGTAGGGACCTTCTAGCTCATAGCCTAGTTTCCTGTAGTAGTGTCTAGTTCCCACTCCCGATATCACTGCCAGTTTCACGGATCGATGCTCCTTTCGAGCTATCCTCTCGGCTTCTTCCATTAAAAGAGTTCCATAACCCTGTACAAATTGGAAGTAGCTTGAGACAATAGGATAAAGATGAAAACAAATAAACCTGGTGTTGTAGCTTGTCGGCGTCACGGCCGTGAACAGGCACCGCAGTTCCATAAACGTGCAGCTCGCGAACTATCGAACATCGTCCCAGCAGCTCGGGGCATGTAGCGTTGGGACCGCATTTTCTCAGGCGCAGTAAACCCACCAGTATATCCTAGATGATCACTCTCAAGCAAGATAAGCATGATATGCATGAGAAAGACTTTGAGAAAGCTTTAGGCAAAATACCTGTCTAGTGTCTTCATAGGCCAGAAACGTCTCCCAGCCTTTGTTAGCACAGTAGTCACGCCTTACTAGCTCTACTTCTTCAGGCTTGATTTGATTGTGTATATCCTGCAAAAGAATCAGAATTATTGTTTGAATGTTACTTACTCGTGAGCATGTGAGCAAACCTGAATCCCAGCTTCTCTTGTCCTGACATCTCTACATTTCAAGCCCAAGTCCTCCATCCTCATCAACGCCAGCTCTCGCAGGTTTCCCTTCTCGACGCCGGACGTTACAAGAGGCATGGGGATATCACGTTGTATGCGATAGACCCGAGTCCAGGGAGGTACCAGAGACAACACTCGGGCAACCAGATTGACGAGTTGTTCAGGTGGATAGTTCTTGTACCTGTAGCAATCAGGATGCACATCAGTTTTGTCTCGGAGAAAAGACCAGCAAATACACTAACCTTCCAGTCTTCCATAGCTCGTACAAACCTGTCCCTCGAATAACCAGCGTTGGATAGATTTTGAGGCCGTCCGCTCGAAAGGAAGGATTTTCAAAAAACTCGCGGAAGCTTTCCATGTCCCGTTCCATATCGACGTTTGGAAGGTTAGGCATCATATGAGCAACCACCTGAAATACATAATCAGCGAAAGAAGTTCGTGTAGGAAATGCCATCGGACCTTAAAGCCAGCGTCCTTGGCAAGGCAAAAGCAGTCAGCAACAGCACCAACCGTATGGCCCCGGTTAGTATCTCGAGCGACATCTTCGTACGTGCTCTGCACCCCAATCTCAAGCCGCGTACAGCCATAAGACAACATCTGGCGCAAGTGAGGAGACAGACAGTAGTCGGGACGCCTGCAACAGCGAGAAAAACGACCAGGTGTGGAAAAAAACACCGCAAGCCTTACGTCTCAATGGTCAGTCCAATGCACTTGATGGCAGCATGCTCTGAGTATCTCACGGCTTCCTCCACATCTCGAGAGGTGTGACCAGACAGAGCGTCATGGAGATTTCGGATAAAATAGTCGCGGTAGTCTGCTGGCAAAGACATGAAAGTACCTCCCATAAGGATATATTCAACCTGTGGCGATCACTTTGCTCAGTGACAGAGAAGAAAATTCATAAACTTGATCACCTTATCCACGCTATGGCCCAGACGCCTGAGTTGATCCACTCGACCTCGAGCCTGTATATAAGGATTGTACCTGAATTTTTTTTTGCTAGCAAAAAAAGAAATGAAAAAGACTATAGAATTTACCTTGCTCGAATTGCTCGCATGCTCGTTGGTTCATACCCAGTGTAGGACTGTGTGCTATATTCGAAGTCCGAATCTGGGCCTCCCGGGCAGTAGACACAGATATTCCCAGTCGTGGCGATGTGTGGGCACCGATGAGGCTTGGACATGACCGCAACCACGGCAATCCCAGAGGCAGTGCGCACAGGCTTGGCCTTGAGCCTGGGCAGGACGAGATCGCGCTCATTCTCTGGCAACGCCGCGATCATCTCCACGAGCTTTGGCGCTCGGGCAAGGCCGTAGCGGCGGCAAGCAGCGGATTTGAGCGCATTGAGATCGACGTCCTCACCGCTGCGGCATCCTTCCACCATAGCCCCTACAATCTCCGCAATTGCCCGTACCCTGGCCTCGTCCTCGCTCAGCCGCTGCTGGACGACGCCTCCCCGTCCCGGTGTCGATTTCCTGCGCTCCACTGCCATTTGCCGCTAAAACCCTAACCCAAGAACCCTAAAGAAAAAGTTGAAATATATTTTTGAGAAAAAGAAAACTATAGTTAATCACACTCTCTCTAAAATTTAAAAAAAAATTCAAATAACTAAATAAACTTTTTCATTTTATTAGGTTATTTGAATATAGTTTTTTTTTTAAATTCCATTCGTAGTTATGTTTTACATTAATGTGTTAGTAATGTTTTGCGCACAGCTGGCGGGCAGACAGTAGATTGGATTTATAAACTCCATTTAGAGATTTTGTTTCCTGTGATTAATGGAAGCCCAAATTGCTTTTACATGAGTCATTCCATCAAAAGGCGTGTACTTGTAGATCACGAAGTTGCCATCGTCCTGAAGGGATGCTGCATAGCTTGCTGTAGCATCGTCAGCAATTTCTGACTCCCATGCTGGATTTGCATTCTCTCGCTTGTACACAGCTAAGACACCATTTTTGTGAAGGACGGCATAACAGTTGCTGCCTTTGCCCCAAGAATCACTTGCCCATCTAGCCACATTCTGGCTATCATAGAGGACAAGGTTGCAATCGCTCTGCATGACCAGCGTGTACCATGCATTTGCTGACCTGAGATAGTGATTGGTGTATATGTACGTCCCATCCTCGTACTTGTCCGTATAATCAACCTTGCTGAACAGGGTATTGAATTTGGGATCGCAGTCCCCTTGCACATTAGGTCCGGCAAGTTCAGGTGCAAGCGCTCCTGGCTGTGCAGCAGCACGGTCACCAGTACTGGTATCACCAGATTCCTGACACCGAATCTGCAAGATGTGTTCGGTACCTACAATGCTAGCAAATCCACCTCTGATGGCTCGTTCCCACAAGTGTGGCAGGAGATCCACAGCATACTTATTCAGCCGCTCCCATGGTACCAAGTTTAACCACTGTGGGTCAGATGAACACGACGCTTCGTTCAACAACCAAGCCTCAACCCAGACACTTCTTCCCTCGACATTGATAATCTGATCTACAAGTATTTGGCCAGCATAGTAAGCGTCCCGATAAGGAACATTTCGTAAGAAATTCAAGACTTTATTCATGAGCACACTGGCCCCTTGCTGAGTTAGTCTACCAGGTGACCCTGTAGGGTTTATCGACATCCCATGAGAAACAACCAAACACAGGCATAGCATGGATGCCACAAGAAGGAGAGACATGGTTTCTCTATTATGGAAATGCATGCTCACAGAATTTGCTGACAGACTTTCACAACACGAATGCATCATACACTTCCTATTTTGGAAGAGGAGGCAGAGGACAAACATGGATGACAATATTTTGCTTTGCTGCAATGCTGTGGCAAAAATGGTCGTCATAACATATTCATAGTAAAGTGCATGTGCCTTTGCCACGTGACGTTCATTGCCTTTTAGCTCTGAATCGAGGTGTTGAGGTGTTTACCTTGTCCATGAACCCCACAGAATCGACCAGTGGGATAGGGACAAAGAACAGCCTGAACACCTTTGGCAGTGGTTTTCCAACAAACACAAATATTACAAAACAAAAGCATATGTATTATATAGTAATATACATACTATTTCTTGGGTTTCTTTTTCTTTTTCTACCCTTGGCAATTTTGTGTCTATCATGGTTTTGTGAGGGCCAAGTGTACGGTTACGATGCCGTATACTAATATTAGCGTAGTGGGATTCTGGTAGCCGTCGGATTGGTTTCAATCTGGACCACTCACTCTTGTATATAAGCTAGAGTTTTTGGGCTAATTAATATGTACATTTCTGTATTCCCTTTCTATATTCCAAACATTCACATTGGTGGAGTTGAGGGGCACCTTTGATTGTCTCTGAGGAGTGTTTGGATTTAAGATTTTGGTTTAGATCTAGCTTTTGCATCGTCTAGATCTAGCTTTTTCTATTTCCTTTTTTTTGTTCTTTCTTTTCAGGGTTTTGGTTTAAATCTAGCTTTTTGCGTTGTCTAGATCTACCATTTCCTTCTAGCTTTTTGTCATTTCTCTTCTTTTGCTCTTTCTTTTTCGTTCATCTTCATGGCAGATAATTAATCTCCTCCTTTGACTCTAGAGCAGCAGTTGGTACAATTGCTTGATGCTATGCGCTTGCAATTGAACAACCAAACTCAGTTGATGGCGGCGTTCACGGCACATGGTACAACTCCTCTTGCTCTTGGTGCCAATCTTCGCGTTCGGCCAGAGTTCTTTCGCGGGAATCCTGGGGATGATGTGTACCATTGGTTCAATCACTTCACGGTGATTGCCACATATCATTCTTGGGATGATACTTGATGGTTGCGTGAGTTTCCCACGTGTCTCCAAGGGACGGCATTGCAGTGGTACAATGGTTTGAGTGTAGCCACTCGTGGGGATTGGAGTGTTCTCCCGGACGTCTTCAAACACGCCTTTGGACGTGCCGATGATTGTGATGATGCTTTCTAGCAATTGCATCGTCTTCGCCAAGGGCCATCTGAGTCGGTGATGCAATTTGGCGTTCGTTTCCGAAGTCTTTTGCTTCGTGCAGAGCCAAATATGTCGGAGCGGATCAAGCTAGGAATGTTGTGGCCAGCACTTCGTCAAGATCTTGTCGGCCTTGTGCATGCACTTGCTCCTACCACCCTTGACGATGCTTTTCGCTTGGCACAACGTTATGAGACGTCGCCTCTTCCACTTCTCGCTGCACGTCCTTTCGCTCCACTTCCTATGGGTGATGGTCCTGTTCCAATGGAGGTTGATGCTGCTGCTGCTCGAGTCCAAGGACAAGCGTGAGGACGTGGTCATGGCCATGATGCTTGCTGCTGGGCGTGTGATGAAGTTGGTCATACTTATCGGTGTTGCCATCGTTTTCCGGATTGGCGACCTCCATTTCCTGGGTGGAGACCTTGGCGTCAACAACGTCTCGTGGGTGCTGTTGCAGTGGAAGGTCTGGACACCGAGATGCATCCGGGAAACGAGGAGTCGCGCGAGTAACGGAGGGACCTTGCACGAATAAATCAGTGACCCCTCCATCTTTCTTTCGGGAGTATCATCAAGGGGTTCACTCGGCACCAGTTCATCCAGTATTTACTTTCCAAGCTCGTTTTTATAACAAGAGGTCTCCTATTATTCTCTCTATGTTGGTTGATACAGGTTTGAGTTTATCTTCTATTACTTGACCTGTTGCCACACGTTGTCGTCTAAACTTGCGTCGTGCGGCGAAACCAGTTTTCATTCTTTATGGCAACGGTCGTACACATGCATGTGCACGGGATGAGGTGCACCTGGTTGTGCATGTGGGCGATCTCGAGCTTGAGTTGCAATCGTTGCAGGTGGTGCCAAGTCAAGCTTTTGACCTCATTCTTGGTATGGATTGGTTGCAGCGCAATCATGCCAAGTGTGACTTTGAGACTTCTCCCCCTTGTCTCATACTTCCTTATGTTTCATCCATTCCTCTCACTTTCATACCTCTTCGTCCCTCTACTTCTACCTCTACTTTCATTACTTTTGCTCCCCCACTCTTTCCTTCTGTGTTTCCATCTTGTTCTGCTTTTCCCTTTTCCGATCCCTCCGACGATCTTTGTGTTGCAGCAGTTGACCGGCTCATGAAGGAGTATTTTGATCTCTTTGAATTTGACCTATCGTCTGGGCCCAAGATTGCCACACGTCATCCGATTCCAACCGGGGATGCTCGTTCAATCAAGGTTTCTGTTCGTCGTCGGTCACCTAAGGAGATCAAGATTTTACGAGCAAACGTCAAGGAAATGCTAGAGAAGGGTGTTATTTGGAAGTCGTGAAGTCCTTGGGCATGTGAACCTCATCTTGTGACGAAGCTTGATGGGAGTATTCGTTTCTGCATCGACTATCGTCCGTTAAACGAAGTGACGATCCCAGATGTGTATCCTCTTCCTCACACTGCTGATCTCTTGGATCGTCTGGGGCGAAGTCATTGGTTCACCAAGCTAGATCTTGCTTTTGGGTATTGGCAAGTACCGATGGCCGACGAAGATATTCCTAAGACTGTTTTTCGTACACCATTTGGTTTGTACGAGTTTTTGGTGATGCCGTTTGGTTTGAACAATGCTCCAGCAACTTTCCAGCGGATGATGGATGAGGTCCTTTGCGATATGCCGGAGGTGACTGCTAACTTCATTGATGATGTCTTGATCCACTCGGAGGGGACGTGGGAGGAGCACGTTCGTGATGTTTATAAAGTGTTGGATCAGCTACGCGACGTTGGTTTAAAGCTGAAGAGGTCAAAGTGCGTGTTTGGGTCCAAGGACACAACTTATCTTGGGTACCGTATTTCTCGTGAGGGTTTGCAAGTTGATCCTGACAAACTTGTGGCTATTCTAAAGTTCCTTACTCCGAAGTGTATGAATGATGTGCAACGCTTTTTGGGTAAGGTGCAGTATCTCGGTCGTTTTGTGGATCATCTTTCCGATTACACTACACCATTGCGAGCGTTGCTGAAGTCATCAACGTCATCTTTCATCTGGTCTCTGGATTGTGAGAGGCATTCGTGGATCTCAAAGAGCTATTGACGACTCCTCCAGTTTTGGCATATCCTGACTACACTCGACCTTTTATTTTGCGCGTGGATGCTCCTGACATTTGTCTTGGAAGTGTGTTGATGCAAGAGAGCTCGAGTGTGCCTAGTCAGTGCCATCCCATTGCATACATAAGCCGTACATTACAACCAGCGGAGATGAAGTACTCCACGACGGAGAAGGAGTGTTTAGCAGCAGTCTGGGGTTTCGAGAAACTTCATGCATATCTACATGGTTCTCGGACATTACTTGAAGGTGACCATGCTGCTATTACTTCATTATTGAAGCGGAAGAACCTGGTTGGTCGTACGGCTCGATGGGCTTTGAAACTTCAAATATATGATTTCGATGTTGTTCATCGCCCAGGGAGTTCTATGGCTGATGCTGATGCCCTTTCTCGAGCTCCTCTTCCTTCTCCACTCACTTATCATGTTTCTGATGAACCTGTTGTTCCAGCATCTGTGGATTTTCTAAATGAGGATTTTGTGCCATCGGC